AATTTAGTGAAGAATCACACCCCAACTTCAAAGCACTTTTTTTATTTTCTCTAAAGGAGGTGAGTAAAGTTGAAGTGCATATCTTACTGAGGTTTTAAAATCCCATGGTTGTAGAAGTGATTTCGAGATTCTTCAATCAGCCCCATGCAGATGTTTCCGTGGCAGAACATGTCACAAGCAGGACAACCCCAAAGAGAAGCACTTATGAACAAAAGAATCATCAGTGTCTTTATTTGAGGTCATCCAAGTTGCATTCCCATGAGTCCCCTCGCATTCAGTTGATTTTGTCAGTTAAAACTGCCCCAACAAGTAGCACTTACTGGATTCAACAGTCATGTCAATGCTCAAGTTAGGGGAATAGTACTGACTCACAGAAAAGTTTCAAAATGGATTTTTTAATCCAACAAATTATCTGGAATAGGTTGCCAGATAAGTTAATGACTTCTTGGAGGCAACAGGGTGAACGGAATCAACAACACTACCCCAACAAACAGCACTTACTGCTGTTGGAACTTACTGCTTATGGAAATCAAGTCTGTGCTCGTGTTAGGGTAACGATGATGACAAATCCATGCACTCAGTCGGGTGAATGTTATGTAAACTTGTAGTCTTGTTGAAGAACTCACAATCAGGACACATTATCATTAGAGGACAGGTAGATTCTAATAAATCTATTTTATGCAAGTAATTCTAACATGATAGTGTCCACTTGCAGTTCCATCAGTATCCCTAATTAAACCCTTTTATATGGTCCTTTTTACATGGTCCTTTTTCAGACTGTGGCTACTTTGATGTCTTAGCTCTGGACTGTAAAATGAAAAAGGTGTTTCTCATAATACTACATGAATGATAATTGATATATGCAACTGAATTGTGTGAATAACATTATAGAATTGCAAAATTGCATTGTTTTTTATAGTTTATTCTCTAATTTCTCTTGTGTTTTTTAATTGAATAATAATTCATCTCTTTATGTATGTCAGCATTGAAACTGCAGTTTTGGGACATGAACAAAAGCAGTTTTCTCAAACTATAAAATGCTTCATAAATTTTTACTAAATCACATTTCCAATTAATTCATTTTTATGTCAGCAATAATATTGTGTGTATATATTTTTGAGAATCATATCAAAAAATATTACAATTAATCCAAATTTTTAGTGATGGGACTGAATGTCTGTAATTACAGCTAATAAAATATTATTCTTTTGCATGTGTTTTATGTAATGTATTGTTTTACAAACCGTCATTTTTATTTTATTGCCTTGTTTACTACATGACTCTCATACAGGCTGCATGTAATGGTGATGTTTCCAGATCTCCAGTTTTTGGGCCAGTTGAGGGCGCACTCGGCTCTTGTGTCATGTGATCAAAGTTACTGAAATTACATTAGATGGTGATTGAATGAATAGACCTCTTAATTTATTTTAGATATTAGTTCCTTTTCCATTAGCTTCCATGTCATATCACCACATGATCATATGGCTCACAATTGATAGCCTACCAATGTGTGAAGTTATGTGCGACAAGGAGTGAAGGGAAGAACTATTTCCAACAAAGGAAGTAAAACATAAAATAAGCCTTGGGAAGACGTACATAATAGCAGGTTTAGCCTCCCTGCTTCTGCACCCCTGGTCCAGTAGGTGGCAGTGGAGCCCCGTTAGCTGATTTGACAGTATTCAATGAATCCAAAGAAGAAGTAAAAGAAGTAAAACGTGTATCAGCTGAGCTGGCTGATGAGAAAACCCTCTTTCACAATACGTGGTTTTACAACATCATCGTAGTGGGATGGAGAATGACATCCTCGTCTCTCTGGAAGATTTAGGGTAAGTTGAAAAACTTAATGTGTGTGACGCGGTGTGAACATCATGCTCAGACACCGGCTCTCCTGTGATCAGCCTTATCTGTCTCTCCTGTGTTAGCCAGCGCAGAGTAGCTTGCTTTAGCTAACTGGCTAATTTTCTGTAGTAACTAACGTTAGCGGGACGGTGACGGGGCTTCTTTCTGGTGGATGTGCTTCAGAGCTGTGTGTCCACCCGGGTGTGTCGGTGTTAACGACGTTAGCAGGGTCATTTTCTGTGGTGAGCCTAGCTGCGTCAGCAGAGATGTTCCCGTCATGATCCAGTCAGCTCTAACACATTCCTGTCTGCTCACTAGTGTTAGTCCCAGTCTATATTAATGCACAATTTATTAAGTGTTTCTAGGTTAATTACTAATATGCTGAAATGTTTAGTAACTTCTTACACGTAATCATGGCTCCTGAACCGGCGGATCATGTACATGCGCAAATTAGCAGGATTTCCTTAAATGACCAGAGTTTAAAATTAGGTTTTGGTGTTGGTACTTGGCTGCAGCCCACCTGTCTGTGTGTGTGACATCAGAGCTCACTGGAGATTCTGCGGCTCACCTGTCTGTGTGTGTGACATCAGAGCTCACCTTAGATTCTGCAGCTCACCTGTCTGTGTCTGTGACATCAGAGCTCACGTGAGAGCCTGTGACTCACCGGTCTTTGTCTATGACATCAGAGCTCACCTGAGATTCTGCTGCTCAACTGTCTGTGTCTGTGAAATCAGAGCTCACCTGAGATTCTTCAGCTCACCTGTCTGTGTGCTAATTTACAAAATATATATAAATAATGTTCACGTATCAATGACCCATACAAAGTAAGACCTCTGCTCTTGATGCTCTTGATCCACTCATGGGAAGAGGGAGTGAGGCATTAAATAGTAAACATCTCTCTGACTAATTTTAAAGACTTGTAAGTAAACAGTTGTTAATGCTAATATTAGCTATGTAGCAATAGCAAAACTTTCAAATCGCTCCTTTAAAGATGACTGGAGGTCTTCATTCGCTGTGGAAGGCTCTTCACCTAAAATGATTAAGCTGTTCTACAGAATGACACGTCTGAGCAACGATCACAATTTAGATCACGTTTGAAACCATTAAAATAAATACTTCCGCTCATCACCAGCTCCACCGCTGCTACTACTGGGCTGCAGCTGGTCAACAATGCATAGTTCAGTTTGAAGGTGAGGGTGTCCACCTCATGCTCAAGTAAACACACAAATGTTCCAACTCTGTAGAGATCTTACTGGTAACACAATGTGGAGTTAAATGTGGAGATTGTTTGTTTGAGATGGGTAAAAATATTTCTCGGGAAGCAACACCATGACTTTGGCAGGAATATATCCTTGCTACCCACACCAATATCTATCCCCATAATCACCTCCTTGCTGAACTAATGAAGCAGGCAAAGAGTTGTGGCTCAGATTGACTGTGGTTTGATTTTTTTTTTGTGTGTGTGTCACTACAGGTACCAGGGCCCTCTGTTGGAGGAAGGAGCTCTGGATTCTGCTCTGAGTGGAGGAGCAGCTTCTCCTGAGTTTACTAAGCTCTGTGCCTGGATCGTCTCAGAGCTCAGACTCTACTGCAAGTTGGAGGAGAATGTCCATGCCACGAACTGTAAGACATTTTATCACTGTTCAGTAGAATTGCTCCTAATAACGGGTTAAGAGAAGATGCTGAGAATATAAGGTAGATAGATAGATACTTTATTCATCCCCTAGGGGAAATTCATGTAGAGTTGCACAGAAAAGGATTCTACGTGTATCAATTTCTTTTCTTGGCACCTGAAGACTGATAACACTGTCAAAAAGAAATGGAAAATAAAATATATACTTATTTATGTTAAATGACACATGCTATGGTTTATGTTCTGTTGGTAATAATGTCAGTTGGTTAGATTGCTAAGCTTTCATCTGGTAGTAGAAGGAAATAAAGTCTACATTATGGACATTTTTAATCACTGTTGTCACAGATTCTGAATTGCGTGTTTCTGTTGGAGGTTTACCAAATTGTTGCCAACATAAATGTGTTGCTTCGACTGCATGTTCGGGAGATCTAACCAGACTATTGGTATGTATTGTGACATCATGTTTGATGTGTGTGTCCTACCACTCCCAGGTCCAAGCGAGGCGGAGGGCTTCCAACTGGAGATGAGTGGTCTGCTGTCAGAGCTCGCCTGTCCTTACTCTGTCCTCACCAGTGGAGACATCACCCAGAGGCTTCTCAACAGGACTGACTGTCTGCTGCTGCTCAGTAAGAGAACAGCACTTTGTATCTCTAACGAGTGTGCATCTTTAATGAAACGAGCACTGATGTGTTGACCCGTGATGGCTGAAAGGTTAAAGTCTGTTGCCCTTTATGTCGATTTTTTTACCACACCCACCTGAGATACAATGTTACACAGTCATATATTGTGTGCTATGCTGCACAGGATGTGGACGTGGCGGGCAGTCACCACTAGATGATAGAATAAGCAACCTGTGTGCAGTTACTTTTTTCACTCTGTATATGACACATAACAGTGACACAGCTGTTGTCAGTGATACCTCATTCAGACTGATGCAGGTTAAGTGTCGGGGTCTATCTGAATAGGTCAGCCCACATCGAACGACCCTCCCTCAACCCTAGTCCATATCAGAGTCGGACCCAGGTCAGATGCTACTGAGAAAGATAATACTCATTCCTTCAACACTGCCCAGGTTTGGTTAACTGGCGTTGGTACCAGGAATAGTGATTAATTAAATGATGGTGGCTTCTAAATGTCATTAAACAGATCAGAGAGAGAGAGAGAGAGAGACAGAGAGCGAGCGAGCATGTGTTGGCGATCAACAGAGAGGGTGTGTCTAGGGATGTCAGGATAGCAGAAATTTAGTAGTCGATACCAATACCAGTGAAATTCCATGATTCTCGAGACCTATTTCGATACCACGATAAAATAAATAAACCACAATGAATTCCATGTACTTTCTCTTTCACTCCTTTTATTGAAAAATACGAATCAAAAAACAAAAAACAAAGAACAGTGGAATGTAGCCTTCAAGAATTTAAAGCAAATAGTACTATGCTGAAATATAAACAATCAACTCTTTATTGCACAGCTTTTCAGCTGTAGTGCCCTGAGACAAAATGTGGAAATAATTGATATAATAAAATGAAACAACTTTTGACACTGCAAAAATAACAGTGGCATGTAGCCTTCAAGTATTTAAAGTAGACAATACTTTGCTAAAATATAAGCTGTAAACATTTTTTATTGCACAGCATTTCAACTATGGTTTGGAAAGTGCGAAGGCACCATTTACAAATGAGCTTTTGCAGGTCTATAATCAACCCCTCATCATCCGCCTCGGAAGAAAAATATTTCCATATGTGACTCTTCTGGCTTTTTCTTTCGGTGAGCTGAGGTGCTGAAGCTGTGTGCCTGAACTTGTCACCATCTTCCATTTGTTATTGTGGCTAGACTGCAGCCTAGTAGTGGACGTTCCTCATCCTCCCTTTGGCAGAGGCAGAGCATGTGCTGGAGAAACTGTGCTTAAATGTGTTCTGAGTCACTCAAATGTTGCCAGTGATGCAGTAATTAGTGTAAATGTTCTTTTCCACATGTTTTTGGAGGTAAGACACTTTTGCGCCATGAGATAAGTTGCTCATACAGTTAATGGGATCCTGTTTGTGCGCAATGAGACCTGATGTGCGAGCATGGCGAGCACTCATTCAGCTGCCTCCCTCAATAGGATGTCAATCTTACGTTACTTCCTAAGAGGGTGACTATCAATCTCGTCACGTGTCGGTATTTTTGGTGCCTTTGATACCACGAAAAAACGGGTACCGTCCCTTCTTTTTGCCATGTATCATCAATTTGGTACCGAAGTATCGGTTCTGGTGACAACCCTAGGCGTGTCAGTGAAGAGACAGAGAAGTGAAACTGAAACTTAACTTATATCTGGTAAATGGTTCTATATAAATCTCAGGTTTATCGGTGAGGAGAGGGATGTTGCTGTCTAATGAATGGGTCCAATATGGGTGAAAAGCAGGTTGTGCTGACCTGTGTCATACAAAGTTCTGCTGTCTGAAAGTGAAAGTGCTTTAAGACATATGGACCGGTTGATTTGTTTGTTACTTTCATAGGCTGATGGCAGTACACATTTTAAATGCTATTACTGCATGGTAGGATCGTATCACATGGGTCTACCAGGTTCTACTCTCTGAAAGTGATATTATTCTGGCTGATTAGACCCAAGTTCGGCTGGAAGTTGGATGGAAGTGTGTTGGGAATTACACAAGATCATCAAAGTAAATGTACTTCAAATAAGTACGAGAGAGAGATGTGTAAATCTAGCACAAAATACCTGTACACCCAGAAAAGAGGTATAATCTCACAGTAACCCTCAGCGAGCACTTTATTAGGAACAGCACATTAACACTGGGTAGTTCCTCAGTTCCTCATGTCATGGATCCACCAGATGTTGAAACCTTCCTCTGAGAGTCTGCTCCATGTTGACATGATGCATCACATCATCTGATTTGTGAGTTGAGTATCTTGGTATACCTGCTGGATCCTTCAGCTAGTGTGTATGCCTTATCAAACACAGCTCGATTTCATAACTCTTTTCTGTTTGCTACTTTTATTTAAATCAACTGTTTGTGCCATATTTCTCTTTTTTTTCTCCAAGTTGCTCTTATTTAAATCCAGAAAGCACTAGCAAGGGTTTAAGTATGACTCTCTGAAATCTCAGCATCCTTTAACAGGAATTAGAATTTAACCAAAATTTATTTCTCTCAGCCTTCCTGGTATCTGAGTTGGAGGCATCCCGGATGATCCTGGTTAACAAGCCTCAGAAGAAAGCCCAGGAGTCAGGCAGCCCTGTGTTCCAGGAGCTGAAGGGCATCTGCGTGGCGCTGGGCATGTCCAAGCCACCCGCCAACATTACCATGTTCCAGTTCTTCAGTGGGATTGAGAAGAAGGTCAGTTGGTCTGGTAAACTGAACAGCATCCGGTAAGGTTAAACCTGTGTTTCCATTCTCATTCAGCTCCTGACAGTAGCACCCAAGACATATGGTGCAGGTGGACTGTAATGTGTCTCCTACCATCAGATCTGTGGGTTGTTTAAACTGCCTTCAAAAGCTGAAAACCCCTCACACATTTTTGTGATCATAAGTTTAGTATTGCCTTTCATGACGGTGTGTGTCCTTTTCACAGGATTGTTTGTTCTCATGAAAATACAATGATGTGCGGTACAAGCCCAGAGGAAATGTAGTTCTGCACATGCCTGCTGTTGTCACTGTGGTTTCATTGATTGGATTTGTCCATGTTTGGCAGCTGAAAGAAGCCCTAAGTCGAGTTCCACCAAATCACATAGGAGATCCTTTACTGAAGAAGCCTCTCGGACCTGTGCACCTGGTAAACACTGAAAGATGATGAAGTGTAATACGACTGTGGAACACTGTGTAAGTGAATAACTGTTCTCTTCTGCTTGTTTTCTCATTTTTCCAGGAAAAGATTGAAGCTATAAACCAAGCACTGGTGAATGAGTATGAAGTCAGGAGGAAGATGTTGTTGAAACGTCTGGATGTGACTGTGCAGTCGTTTGGATGGTCTGACAGAGCAAAGGTATGTGGAAACTCGGACTCTTCCTAAACCCCTTAAAAAAACGCCCACAATGTACCGTTGAAACACAAATAAAGCATCTTAAACAGGAAGTCTTTGTAAATGTTGTGTGTGTTCAGCAGTAGTTAAGCCGCTCCTATCCATTCAGGTTTGCTGTTTGCTCTGCTGAGAAGAGAACAACGTTGTTTATTAGTTTGTTTAACAAGGAGAGGAAAAGTAAACACACACACTGAAAACCTGTTGACAAAAAAAATCAGTGTTTCTGCAAGAACTTTTATTTTAAGAGAAGCTCATTTGAATCTGACAGCTACCCCACCTGCAGGTAGTCAGCTGGATTCAACATAATCCCTGACTTTGTTATATTGATTGAAAAAACTACAATGAAGATGGTGGCATCTGCTCACTGAACATCTGATGTAGAGCACACATTTAAACACAGGATCCAGAAGAGCCGTCCCAAACAGTTTAGTTGTCACAAATCAGGATGCTTAGGATGATGGATAATGGATAAACAGATGGATGGATGATTTTTTTTTTTCTGTACATGAGATACTAAAATACATGAAGACAAAATAAGTACAATTATATATCAACTTAAAATGTCAGCAGTAACAATAATAAACTACATTAAATAAAGCTGACATTACTTCCACTTACTTTATTTGTGCATCCACCATCTCTTTCTTTGTGTTAAACAAAGGAATCTAATGGAACATAATACATATACACATTTAAAAGCCATCCAGCAACAAAAGGCTAATCAAATAATTGATATAGTATCAGCCAAATAAAATAACATGAGGCTTGAAAAGTCCATTTTTCAGCAGTGGTTCTCTTTGTCTTTGTGGTTTGGAGGGAAAGGGCTATGCAGACAGAAGGGTGGGGTTATATAACTTCCTGCGTGGGGTTAATAGGATGAAAGGTGATTTCAGGTGAGGCAGGGTATTAGACTTGTGATTTAACATTGATGTTAATTCTGTTTTAATCTAATTTCTCTTATACACAGTTGAATTTTCTGCCTCTGTATTGTGGAATAGACATTAGCATCTTTTGTAATACATCACTTATCATAGTAGAAACAGAAACAGCCTCCTGGCACCGCTCACATGTTTGATGACTTGTTTTGTCTGACCAACAGTCTAAAATCTGAATATACTGAGTTTACTATAATGTAATAAAAGCAAAAGCAGGAAGTCCTCATTATTTAGAAACCGGAGCTGTCAAATGTTTGTCACTTGTACTTGACAAATGACTTAAAAGATTCGTCAATTATCAAAATATATGCTGATTAATTATCTGTCAATGTCATGTTAACCATGATCATTTTTACACTTCTGACTCTTGTATAGAGTGCTGCAGGATGATGTATTTTTATAGTCCAACCCTGATGTTATCATCCCCCTGGTTCCCTCCACTAAAAACCAGTGAGATTTTAACATCGTCTTTTGGATTATTACAGAGAATAAACAACAGTTTATGATCCTGACAGGTTTGATGGTGATGTTTGACACCTAAATACAATCAGCAGAGGTAAAAAGCTAATGTTAGGCTATAAACCAATGACACCATGGTCACATGACTTCAACGTCACAACCACTAAACTTCAGCTTATAGTTTGATTTAGCTCTGACCTCTTCTCCAAAAGCCTTTCCTCTTACAGAGTTAGTGACAGTTTGTAAACACAGCGAGGCTGTAAAGGTGGACTGGTGAGTAGATCAGTTTTCATGTTCGACGTGATGACGTTTAACCTCCCCGACAACCTCTGTAGTCTCATTTGGACACTTGTTAGCAACTGGCCGTTTTTAACAGACGTACAAGCTTCAAGAAATCAGGACTGGGTTTCTGGGTTTTAGGATCATTCCTGCAGCACTGTATAGACACCAACACAACTTAATTCTTATTTCAGTATTTAATAACTGTTCAAGTTGCTTCATGTGCTTCTGCTCACCTGTAATGGAACTAATATGTTTTTGTTTTTGGTAGTTACTCAAAGTATTTCGTGTTGGCCTGAATTTCTGCCATTTGAATGCATTCAGTGTTTTGTTTGTGTGTCATAGTCCATCCCACAAGATTACATGACTCACAATAATATGGCGTATAAATAACAGCTTCAGGTGATTGACATTCATGTTTTAAAGAGAAACAAATAACATGTTACTGATAGACTTCATGTATTGATTTGTTTTTTGTGTCTTTACAGAGTCATGCTGAAAAGTTGGCCAAAGTTTACCAGCCTCTTCGTTCTTCTCTTGGCACCACGACTAAAATCTCTGTTGCTCATCTTCTGGCTGCTCGACAAGACTTCTCCAAGATCCTCCGCACAAGCAGTGGCAAGATCAGAGAGAAGACTGCCTGTGCTATTAATAAGGTAGTTAAACACAATGTGGTTACTCCTGTTTTTTGTGTTTCATATGTTATTCTAAGGGTTTTAATAGTGTTTCTCTGTTGACTGTCCCGTGTATTGTCTAAACAGATGTTTGAGTATTTGTTGTGTGCTAAAACTTCCGAGCTCTCACAGGATTTTGATATCTCAGTAACGCCTCGACAAATTTGGCACAATCTTCAATCTTCAAATTTGGCACAAACATTCACTTGGACTGTAGGATAAACTGATTAAATTTTGTATTTATCCCCTAGGGGAAATTCATGAAATTGAAATTCATGGTGGTTAAAGGTTAAAGGTCAAGGTCGTGGTGACGATCCAAAACATGATTTTGGCCTCTTGATTGTGGTATCTCAAGACCACGTAAAGGAAATTTGTTTAGATTTGGTACAAATATTCACTTGGGTGTATGTAGAGGACTATGTTGTGAGCTCATCAGTAAAATGAAGAAACACTTCCAGACACTACTCGGGTCATTTTCTCTTCTCCGTTTTCAGCGCAAGCACAATGCACGATGGTATATATTGCTTAGTTAGTGACCATTGGTTGTACACAAGGAGGAAGGAGGAAATGCACTTGTGGAGGAATATTATCAGTGACATGTTAATGCACATTTGGTGTCAAATTGAAAGATGTTTTTAGTGAGTTCTAACATGTTGTTTAGATGGAAAGTAGAAATGGTTCAGGATGTACTTTGAATATCTGAGCATTCCTTCAGGACTCTAGTCCTGAGTAACAGAAGTTTATGTTGAATTTAGTTTCAGGGCCTTTTCCTTCACACATCATGTTCAGTGACACAGATAGAAACTAATGAGTGTCCTCTGAACTTACTTCATTTAACGTGTGTCCTATTCTCAGGTTCTAATGGGCCGAGTGCCAGACAGGGGAGGCCGACCCTGCGAGATTGAGCCTCCTCCACCAGAGATGCCCACCTGGCAGAAGCGTCAGGATGCGCCCCAGGGTGGAGGACACTATGGTGGGGGTGGGCACGGAGGTGGCAGAGGGGGCTACGATCACTACTCCCAAGGTGGCCGTGGAGGCTACGAGAGAGGACATGGAGACAGGGGAGGTAGAGGAGGAGGAGGTGGCAGAGGGGGGAAGGTGCAGGGAGGCTGGGGAGACGGAGGTGGAGGTGGGAGAGGCGGTTACAATCAGGGTCACTTTCAGGATGCAGGAAGTCATCATGGGGGAGGAGGTAGAGGTGGTTACGGAGGAGGAGGGAACAACCAAGGGAGCTTCCAGGATGCTGGGTATCATGGAGGAGGAGGAGGAGGAGGAGGAGGAGGAGGAGGAGGAGGCGGTTACCATGACAATTACCACCAAGATGGAGGCTGGCATCACGAGAGAGGCGGGGGTCGAGGAGGTCGGGGGGGCAGGGGAAGGGGAGGCCGAGGAGGAGGAGGAGGAGGAGGAGGACAAGGACAAGGGGGAGGCTGGGGAGGGAGAGGAGGCCAGAATTTTAACCAAGGAGGACAGTTTGAACAGTTCTTCCAACACGGCGGGCAGCACTACAACCAAGCTGGCTTTAATCAAGGCAGACACTACACTAGTTGAAGACACAGTGTGAGGTACTGCAGCAGAGTCCACACAAACATCCACCACCTCTCACGTGTGAATGGATTTAAAATGCCTTATCATCACCATCTAAAACTTTCAGAATGGTTAAAAGTTGACTGAACACACACAGATACTGTGCACACTCACTGTAGACTGATCTGGAGCTAATGCTTTACTACAGGGAGGGTAGTCCTATGCTTTTTCATCCTGGTGTGTTAAAGTTTTCTTTGCTTCTTATGTACAAGTAATCAGACCAACAGCTATGCTATAAACAGTTTGTCGATCAGTTGGGCTCTGCTGTTTTGACCTCATTGTGCCACTAAATTAGCCTTATATCGGACATTTGTTTGAAAGACAGGAAAGGTTCCTCGGATTTCAGTGTTGATGCACCTGCTGTGTATCTGACACATGAATTATTACATGAATAATAATTCTTGAAATTCTTCTAGTTAAATTGAATTTGACAGTTATTTGAAAAGAGCTTCATCGTTCCAGTCCTCGTTTTGTTTCAGTAGATTTGACTGGAGACTCATTTGTTACTTATTTAAGAGATGTCATCTTGTTCTGCTCCTGGAAGATTGTGTGCATACAGACTGGATGTTGGAAGGTTTGCATGGATGTGTAAATAAGCAATAAAACCTGAAATGAGAATATTAACACTTTTTTTTCATTCAGTGGTTTGAATATTTGAGTTGCTGTGAAGTGCTATGTTTAAATTAAAGTTTTGAAGACGACTCACAAATTTTGACTGTTCAAAGGAGATCTGTGCAAAAGATCATGGCAAACTGCCATTATCATCTGGCTTCAGACTTCATCACATGACATACTGGAGCATTTGTTATTATGATGAGTCATGGATTCATACTGTACAACACATTGAGTAAATACAAGGGAAAACTTGAGGAGTTGAAAATATTCATCTACAAGCATATGCACACACTTCCCACCCTTTCATCAACCCTTCCATCCCCACACCCAACCCCCTCCCTTCCAAAAAAGAAAGGAAAACAAATTCCTTTGCAAACCCATATCAAAGTACAGAAAGAAGAAAGACGCCAAACAAAGGAAGTGTTAAAGGCCTGCTGTGAAAAAGAGAGATCATTAAGTCCAGTTCTGGGTGATTAGGGGATGATGTGGTGAGAAGTATGGGAGAGTATGACAAGTATGTCAGGCTGACTGTGGCTTACAGCTCCAGTGGATGTTAGAGCAGGGCTAACAGGACCAGGACTGAAAAGCATACCTGGCTGTGATAGGAGTGAAGCAGGTGGGCAGAGTCGAAGATACTTTGATTTTCTTGTGGAACTGGTCTGTTGAGGAAAATTTGAAGATTTTGAGACGTAGTTAAATCCAGGAGATGGCAGTAAAGCAACTCAACAGATGACGTACAACCTCAAAGAAGAAGAAGGAGCAGTCGTTTTTTTTTTTTCTTTTTTATTGACAAATTTTATAGCAGTCAAAAAGGCACAAATCACATTCAGGATAAATGCAGAAACAACTGAGCAAGCAGTAATAAGAATAAGAACATTATAGGTCAGAGGTAAGAAAATGAATAAATAAATAGTAAGAAAACTAAAGAAAAATAATAAACTTAATCGTAAACAAGACAAAGTATGAAATAAAAAAATAAAATAAAGGGACAAAACAGAACGGACAAGAAAAATAAGAAGAGCAGGAACTGACTGTACAATGTTTGCACTACTGCGAAAATAGACTTTTATTTTGAATGTGTTCCTCCGGATGTTTTTATGTGCCACAGTTGTATTTCCCGTGGCAGTTACAATTGCTGCACTCAGTGGAGCCAGACACGCGAAGTTGTGTGGAAAAAATAGGTTTTCTTGTAAACGGGTTTTCCCCTTCATCCAGTTTCGTCCATCGGTGAAACTGGAGTTAGCATGCCCGCTTGAACACGACCATGTATCGTCCAGTTAAACCTGCACACGGCCCGCCGCCGTTCGGACCTCCACCAACCCATGGCCCTCCTTTCAGACTCGGAGGGTCTTGTGGTATCCCCCCTCCTGGACACTTACCCCGTGGACCTTGCGGACCACCTTCAGCCTCAGCACCGGATTTTCTCCACAACAGACCAGCGAGAGGGCATTTCATCAGTGTACGTACCCAGCAGGCTAATAAAACTAGCTTAGCCGGCTAAATTATGTGGTGCAGATAAGGGTTTAGCTAGCATCACACAAAACATTAGCATACATCACAGACCACTGTGAGTAGTAGTTGGCTACACATGTAGCTACATATTGTAACCGAGGAGTAAACAGCACATGAGAACCACTACACTGAGACTAGACAAATCTTGACTACATTATCCCGAGAGGGTAAAGATTCTTTAAGACACAGTTTCAGGTCTGTGAATTTTTTATTCTATCTATGAAAATGCTAAAAGGCAGATTAAGCATGGTTTGTTCTAATTAAATCATCACTTTGCTCCACTTTGAACTGTTGGAGCAACCTCATCACACCATGTGTTGTGTCTGCAGTGGACGGTTTAATCACATACTTTCTCATGGGTTCAAGAAATATTCCAGAGAATCACCATATAATCATAAGTATCCAGATTTATCCAGACAGAAGAGACATCCTTGTGAACTGGGCCTATTCAGATTAAAAACCAATAAATTACTAGTCAGGTGTGTCCTTCTACCTTTAATGGCAAATAACTTAATTGTTACATTATGATATTTAAAGGTGTAATGTGTAAGATCGTGCTACTTGCTCCACCTCCATAGGCAGCAGCATTTCACCTCTTTGCCCCTTTCCAGTTAATCGTGTTGTTTTCCCCATGTTCCTTATAATTTATCATATGGGCATTTATTTTCGATTGTTAAAATTGTTGATAGCACTGAAACAAATTATGAGTACTTGTAATACAAACAGTATATTTTATTTACCTATAAAAATATGAAGCAAGGGGATACTGCATGACACATGGGTGTCCGGCTATAGCAGCATGAGGAAGGGATGATGACATCATCACAAAGGCAGAATCAGAAAATAAGGTTTATTTGCAGGGTAGGTTTTTAACTGAAAAAAACTATGTACAAAAGTGTTACCAAAACTCCTGCTGAGCAGGATGTGCAAAAGATCACAGTATAGACAATATCTGTTCTGTGCAGGAATAATACTCCAAGGTGTTACTGTAATGTGGTTGTTGATGATTGATGAGGCCAGACACAGAAGAAAAGGCAGGTGCTGGTACATTCCTGACATGCACTGCCCTGTTTATTGTTACTCTAAATGAGCATAGTTTGTATATGTTTCATTCAAACTGTGAACACTAGTATTTCACTTAACTCTTACCTTATGGCAAAGTATTTATTATAGCCACATATTTCCCATACTTTCATATTCTCTTCACATTGTATCTAGTTGTTGGCTTAAATAAGATGGACAAAGATCCTCTAATAAAGGATGATCATCTATTACAAGCTGCAACAATGGGATGAAAATGGAACAGTCCCTGTCCCCAAACTGAGAGGCTACACAGCAGCCATTGACCCTAATAGGCTGTCATACCTTTTTGCATTTTACGAAAAGTAAAATAAATAATTTGTGTTTTAGTCCCTGGCTTCTCTGTGATAATCTAGTCCAGATTTGACCAGTCTAAGTACAATGGTTTTTGAAAGAGACCTGGTCCAATGTGGTCTAGGTGTGCTAAAAGCAGTAAAATCTCCTTTTTTTTTTAAATTTTCATAACTAGAATAAACAACAGTTCAAAAGAAAAAAACAGAGGAACAGTCACTCAGCACTGCAAGTTAAGTTTCCCTTAACTGCTTAATAAGGAGCTGCAAAATGAAAACAAACTTCAATGTTGTAGAAAAAATGGATGTCTTTCCTATGCTGTCTCACATTTTTTGGGACACATATAACACCAGGCAGCCTGTTTGAATAGGTTAGACCAGAGGTTGTGTCAGACTTTCTTGTCATTTTGATCGACAGGGTCGTAAAAATCCCGTCACGACCTAACATTACCCCTCATTTTAATTTAAAATTTTTATGATAATGAGACAAAGACTATTTAACAGCACTCAATTTTCAAAACCAACTCGATCACAATAGAATTTAAAAAAAAAAAAAAAACAGAACAAATTTACAGATTATACATGTATAAGGACATGGAGAGAAACAATGAACAGAGACAGCGACCGTAGGGCTGTGACGATGACGAATACCTCAGTCATGTGACAGCACCATGGGTTGAGCTCATTATCATCATCACTGCAATTTTTTGTATTTAATTTTGTGGCTGGTGAAACTCAGATGTTTAGAGTGATATGAAATATAAACATAGTGATCATTGTGTAGTGATCAATGACTGTCTCCCATCTCATCCACAGAATTAGATTCTATTTGTGGTGGTGGTGGTGGTGGGGTCATTGAGAGTTGATCTAACATAATGTAGTGTTTTACATGAGCCCAGTTCCAGTGGTGACACACGAAACCTTAATGACTCCTGAGAGAGAGAGAGCAATAACGTGTTATAATACTAATTTAATACAAATTACCCTCCTGCTAGACTTTAGTAGTTAAATGTTGCTAATATAAGATCAGGCAATATTACATTCTTGCAGTAGCCTACAGAAGGCTGCAGTTTCAGGACCACGGTTGTGTATCATTAATAATAATATAGAATTTTATTATTATAAATTGCGATCCTGGTGTTCACTTCCTTAGGTTGTAGTGTCATGAAAAAATAGGGTCCTGAAACTGCAGCCTCTGGTTTTGCAGGAACACTCTAATCCATTGAGCACAGGCTTACAGAGAGGACCAGTAAAATGACAGACAGCGCCGGTAAAAACTTAACGGTTCATCGTCAGGATTTCTTCTTATGGTCAGTCTGACCATGACAGACAGGTTTGTTGTGTGGGTCCATGTGTGTGTGAGAGGGAGAATGGACACAATGAAACAACAGCATAGAACACAGCTTTAGAGATCTGTTGTGTTGTTATGAGAAGTATAAAAATATGTATACACTTAAATTAGACTGTGGCAGCAAACAAACAGGTGTGGGAGGGAGGGATGGGTACGAGTACTCGAGTAGTCGATGTCATGGAGTAGCATTTCACTATTCTCGCACCTGCGCACCTGTTGTTTTTGGCTACAATAGTTCAGCTCAGTTGGCGTTACGTGCACCATGGCAGCCATGACAGGAAAAGTGATGTCTGGAAATACTTTGATTAAAAAAGACAACAATAACGTGCAGTGCAAGATATATTGCGTTAAACTTACATATCATCAGAGACGGTAGAGAAACCGAGACGCTTCATTTCCGTTTATTTCCTGTATCTGTGTCATGTGGGTTTCTCCACCTCCCCGCCCCTTTAGGAGAATGGAAGCAGGTCTGAGTGTATTCATTCCAACGGGTGAAGTGAACGAGGTCACAGATTATCACATATTCTTTCACTCCATAGTCATCGAAATAGATATTGGACCCAGTTTTCACAAGCCACACGTCTTCAGAACATTCTGACATCAAAATTACATTTTTCAGACGAACAGATCCGGAGAAAATGAACTTTATTTGAGACCTGCCTCTGTCTCAGTGCCATACTCTCGCGAGATCTGCCAACTGCTGACATCGTTTGCCAACCAATAACGAGATGTTTAGATGGACCAGAGTTATCTTTGGAATGACTTACTTATACGTTAAACCATGGATTAAACTTTAAAACTGAAATAAAACTTGTTTCATTGCTTAACAATTGCTTAAACAGATTATTAGCCTATTAAATTGACATGACTTTGTACTGGGCTGATCAGATGTCGTTAGTAGATTAAAAAAAAAAAAAAAAAAAACAGCGTCAAAAAAGGCGCAAATTTGTACTGTATCCGTGTTGTATCCTCTATGGTTGTATTCTTTTGGCAGGGACAAGTAATCCATAAATTTGTGTTAAAAATGCCGGAGCTTTGTGTAGCAATAGGCTGTAATAACAAGAACAACAGATGTCTTTTCTTTCCCAAAGGATGCAGAGAGGCAAGTCCAGACAGGGATAGATTTTAATATTAGCTGCTGTCACATTTCAGGGCAGTTATCTTGGCTTGAGGGAGGGGTTGGGAGAAAATGCCCACTTAGGAGACCGGAACTGTGTCCCATTTCATACCATTGGCGCTACCTGTAATGCGGTATCTTGTGTATTGAGGATCTTTGATATCATGTTCTCCAACAGCCAAACAGTAGGCTTGGTCAGGGAGGTCCGTGTCCAACTGGAAACACAAGCTTAACGTGGGATCCGCTTGTGTTTCCAGTCGGACACAGACCTCCCATATTTAGTTTTTTATGGTAAATATATATATAATTTGCTAGGTAATCGAGTAGTCATTCATAAGGTAATGACAGTACTCGAATATTGAAATTACTGAAAATGCCCATCCCTAATCGGAGGGGTGGAGCAGTGAGAGCTTGTCCACTAGTAATGTTATAGTGTCGTTCTCAAGGAATTACAGTAATTGTTAAAAACAAATTAAGTATTAAGAAAATATCCAGTTAAGGCGAGACCTTGGTCCGATGCTGCCCAGTATTGGTGAACTGGCTTTGCCACCATGATTGGAAATTAATTGATAGCAACATTAAAATGTCATTTAACCAACCTATTGAAAAAGAGATAGAGATTGAGCAAGATAGAGAGAAATAGGACTCGTCAGCAATGGAGAGGGAGTGAGTGAGCAGATGAATAGACAGAGAGGTGAAACTTTTATCTGGTAAATGGTGGTGTCCAGCATAGGTTGAATGTGTGTTGGTTAGGACACAAAATACAACCCACAAGTAAAACTATACTTACTAGCTAGAGAGTCTTGTTTGAAGCTACAGTTGAATTGTGCTCCACTCTTATGCATGCGACTTCGACAGTTTGTCCTGGCTACTGTGCAGTAGCTGTCTACAAACGTCCCATTTTCCTGTCAGCTGTACTGCAGAGGTCATTTCAGTTGACTGCAGAGGACATGGTCATCGCAGTACGTATCAGCCACTTGCGTCAGCCTCAGTGGTTTGTGTACTTGCTTTACATCAAAATGGGTGAGTCAGAAACAATCTTTGTTTGTTTTAAAGAGACTAGAGACTAGGTTGTATTACATTATTACATAGTTCTGAACTATATATAT